TCTCTCTCTCTCTCTCTCTCTCTCTCTCTCTCTCTCTCTCTCTCTCTCTGAAGTTTGAGAGCCTTCAAAGTGCCTATGTAAAGACTCTCCACTTTGCAGCATAAATCTTACAGGAGTGTTTTCAAGGAGAAGTTGATTCAGGTATGGGGAGTGGTGAGGTCTGTAGATCACTTTCTGAATGTACATCATTGCTAGTATTGGTCTACTGGACCCGTTAGGCCTCCTCTGCATGGGCAATCCCCCACCTTTATCTGTCACTATCTAGGTATTGTTTTGGGTTATGGTCATGTTTCCTAGAAGAATGTGGCTATTAGCTGTCAGGAGCAACTGTGGAAGAAAACAAAAACAAAAACAAACTAAACCAATTAAACAGTTTCTATACTCTACCCCAGAACTGTGGGCTCAGAGTATCCAGGGAAGGACTGGGATCCTGCATTTTCTATGTGCTCCCGAAGACAGTCTTATAATCAAACAAACTGAAAATGTAGGCCTGGCTTGTCCCTAACTTAAAAATTCCTGGTATAGGGCTGGAGAGATGGCTCACTGGCTGCTCTTCCTGAGGTCTTGAGTTCAATTCCAAGCAACCACATCGTGGTTCACAACCATCTGTAATGGGATCTGGGCAGGTGTACATGCAGATAGAGTGGTTATAATACATCAAATAAATAAACCTTTTTTTAAAAATTAAAAAACAAAATGCCTGGTATATCAACCATGTGAGGTGGGAAGGGTGGCCGGTGAGGCACTCTAAAATATCTTTATAGTTACTATTAGTGTGATTTTTATGCAACAAAGATCACGGTACTTTCTTCTGTCACGTGACACTGAGATTCTAATCTGGTAGATTTCGGGGATATCAACATTAAAAACCAAAACCCAAACCCAAACCCAAACCAAATCCAACCACCACCACCAATAACAACAACAATAAAACCCCGTTACTGACATTTCTTATGTGACTCTTGGGCTTCATTCTGAAAAACATTATCTTACTATGAATCATTTCTCAGACCAAAATTAGCTCCTAACAGAGGAGCCTTAGGTCGAGGGTTGGGCTTACACAGGCTTTCACGAGCAGCCTTGCGCGGCTCTGACAAGGTCCCTTTACCCATCATCTTCTTTGGGACAAGAGCTTGTAAGGCCTAAAGATTGGAGAGTGTGCTTATCAGTTTTCCATAGTGTAACCGATTCCTGAGCTGATCTGTTCATAAAAAGGAAAGTTTATATGCGTTCAACACTTTGGAAGTGTCGCTCATGGTTGACTGGCAGTATTGGTTGGCCCTATTGCTTTGACCTTGAGATGAGGCAGTATACTACCTTGTGGTGCAGGTGGAGGATGCTGATCACTGCGTGGAAATGAGAAGCAAAAACACAGGCCAGGTCCCCAGTGTTCCCTTTGAAGGACAGCCCTCATGCGATTGGAGCTTCCAACAGGGCCCTTTCTCCTAGTCTCCACCCTCTCCAAAATGGCGCTCCGGAAGAGGACTAAGTCTTGGAACCCAAGCCTCTTGTGGTGACATTTAAAATGCAAACTGTAGCAGAGAGAAAACGATCTGGGGGAAGTTAGGATGGAAAGCAGTGCCCAGCTTTCTAAGGACTGGCTGATATGTTTTCACACCACCTCCATCCTCTTTATTTGAAAAAAAAAAAAGCATGAAATTGACTGTGAAGCAACAGGGACACACACTGAAATGGGGAAACGCTGAATTCCGTCCGCCCTAGTCTGCCCTAGTTGGAAGAGAGTGAAAGCCAGGTTGGCGCCCAGGAAACCCTTCCCAAACTCGAAGATCTTCCAGCAATGGAGCAAGGGGCTCTCAGAGGCTCATCAGTGAGAGGCCCAGACCAGAACTTGCTCCCGGAGTTTGGTCACAACGTGCTTCTCAGCAACCAGTGGCCCTATAACCGCAACATCCCTGACGCCCATGATGCCTGGTGCGCTGGACCTCTGTGTAATTTGGTTTATGAACTCTGGAAGCCATGCAAACAAAAGGATAGACAGAGGGGTGAGGGGAGCAGAGCAGAGCAGGGGACTGTTCGGAAGGGGATGAGCAGTCTTGTTTATTGATGTATTTGTTTTTGTTTTTGTTGTTTTGAAGTAAGTTCTTGCCATGTAGCCCAGGCTGGCCTCAAACTAGAGATCTTCTGGCCTCTGCTTTCCAAGTGGTGGGACTGCAGCGTGCACTACCACCATGCCTTGTGCCTTGAAAGTTCTTGGTTTTAATTCGTTTGATGATGGCATATCAGAGAAGATAAAGGACTAACTCAAATACTGCTAGCTCGCTAGAGAGAAGGTGAGGCCACACAGGAAGAGATCTCTGAGGATTCCTATACAATGGGGCTAATCCTCTTCCAGATGAGGATTAGCAGGGCAAGCAACCTGCCATCTCATTCAGCAGGCTGCTTTCTGCTCTGGCTTTTCCTCAGCTCTCTGCTTGGATCCTGTTCCTTGCTGAATCTCAAATGTAGAGTCTTTCCTGGATGCAGCCCTCCCTCTCTCCAGATTTCCTCTCTACTACTCTCTTTCTGCCCCTACCTCCCGTGCACACTTTCGTTCCACAATTAAAAACAATCAAATAAAAAAAAAAACCCACTCAAGCTTTTTTGATTTTTGTCTGTTTGTTTTGTGACACATGGACTTATGTAGCCTGGGTTGACCCCCAAATCTGAGGATGACTTTGAACTCCTGGTCTTCCCATTTCAGCCCTCTATGCATTGAGATTACAGGAATACACCGCCACTATTCTTGGCTTCACTTTTGTTGATAGATACCACAATGCTATCCATTTAAGATATGAAATGAATGGCTTTTATTACAACTAATAAATTAATTGAAACATAATAAATATGTAGTGAAGGTTGAGCTCCGACTTTTGGAGGTCTCCTACCACTAGTGTGCTGGTATTACAAGTCTGAGCCACTATGCCCAGCAAAAGGGTCTTAGCATGTTCAGAGTTATGCTCGAGCCACACAATATTAAGACATTTTGATAATCTCATAAAGAAACCCTGTACTCTGCCAAAGCCATGCCCCATGTTACCCACAGCTTCCTTGTCCCTGTGGATTTGCCTGCTCTGGGCTTGTCTTAGGATGAAGTTGTGTAGTGTGTGTGTTTCATTTTCTATAGTGTGTCCAAAGTACTATCCATATAATAGCTAGTAGCGTGTGCATCAACACTCCCTTTTGTATTGGTATGTGGCAATTACCTTTTAGTCATGACCAGCAGATGGCTGGTCCATAGTTTCCAGGTCTGGGCTACTACTGTGAATTACATTGTCATGCTTCCCTTTTTAATGAAGCAGAGTTAGGGTTTGATCCACATGTGTCAATATACAGACATGAAGGTTAAGGGGGGGAAAGGCAATCAGAAGGAAGGGAGACATACTCCAAAGCATGAGGGTGGTCTCCTCAAGGAGGGTTGTTTCCTGTACATGTCTGTATGAGAACAAACGAAGGTCTTCATTTTGTAGACCCCTGTAGCAGAGTTGCTGAGCCATATTACCATACTCTGTGTTTAACCTTTTGAGGGCCTGCCTGCCTGTTTCCTAAATGGGGCTGCATAATTAGTTTACATTCTATCCAGAAATGTTGAGCAAATTCTTGTTGCTCGTCTTTTGTTTTTGAAGGAGGACCAGGAATTCAAGGACTTTGAGTTCTGACCTACATAGATCTCTGTCTCCCAAGAGTTGGGACTACAGGGATGGACCACCCTGCCTGGCAGAAGCTAGGTCTGGTGTTGGGGTTGAACCCAGGGCCTTGTGAATGTTTAAAAGCATGCCACCAATGAAGGGTAATCCCAGACTCCTGGAATTTGTCTACATATTTGCCAACACATGTCATTGTTTTTGTGTTTGAGCTGTTAACCTATTGGTCATGAGATAAATCTCATTGTGTTTTTTAATTTTATTTAGAATTTCAGGCCTCATGTTGTTGAATATCTTTTTATGTGCTCATTACCATTTGCATGTCTTTTTTTTTCTTTCAGGAGTATCTATTTGGACATTTTCTTTTATTATTATTATTATTGAATTGCAACTAACTTCCTCCCTGCCTCCCCCCCCCCCCCCCCCCCTCCCTCCCTCCCTCCCTTCCTTCCTCCCTTCCTTCCTTTCTTCCCTCATTCCCCCTCCCTCCTTGAGTTGGTTTCCAGGACTGAGCAAAAACCTGGGGGTGGGGGGGAGAAAGGCTGTAGGATCCAGCAGCCCCTGCTCTACTTCCTGATCTGTGGTGATGTGGGAATCCCAGTCACTTGTCCCTGCTGTCACGACCACTGCTGTGCCCTGCCACGATGGAGCGAAACCTCCTGGACCCTGAGCACAAATGAACCTGGCTTCCCTTAAGCCACGTCTGCTGGACAGCTTGTCACAACAGTGAGAAAAGTTTGTAATACAACCAGAGGCTCCACAAAGGTGGAGATTTACGAAGAAAATCGACGACCACTTTAATTTTTAAGTGTGGTTTGAGATTTCTTTCCAGACTGGCAGAATGCTGAAGCATCCCCTCCCCCTCCCCCTCTTCCTGAACAGAACAACCATCTGACTGGAGAAAATGATACACCAGGCAACATTTTCAGAAATTGTCTCAAATTGTCAGCAAATGGAGAATCATCCTGGCAAGAACATTTTCTAAATCTCAGTGAGGCTCAGTGGGAGTCTATGGCATATGAGCCGCTGTTTTCTCTGTGTACCCCACCCCCAGTTCTAGAGAATGATTCTCTATGCCAAGTTCTCAACTCTGGGTAGGAGTGTTCAAGGGGGCTCTTGCCACTGCACTTCCCACAGTGCTGTGGTTTCACCCCTGGGAAGGGCAAGCCAACAGCAAACAGACACCTTCCCCATGCCCATCATCGAGATTTGAGTCCTCTACCTGGGGAGGCAGCAGAAGCAGCTGTGACTCCCGCCCTCCTCACCTCCATCTCGTCCTCCATTCCCTGATGCCCTCCACCTCACACCTGCTCTGAGGGTAGAGTTTCAACTCCAACTGCACCAGACCAAGAATCCCAGGTTGCAGCTGTCTCTCCCCGGATTGCTTACACAGAGGAAGTTCTACCCAGGGATGCTTTGACCCCAGAGGCTCTGCTTCCTACCTCCCACCTTCCTGTCCTTTGTGTCTGCTGACAGAATCATATGTCACTCTAGCTCAGGAAAAAATGAGCTGCTCCCTATAGTCCCCTTGTCCCCTGGGTACTGACGCAGACGCTCTGTCCAGGATGGAATTCAGGGTGGAAAACTTCCCTGCTCTTTCTAATGAACTGACCTTATTTGGAACAGTTTTTAAATCACTCTGTAGCTCTGGCTGTCTACTCTCTGTGTAGGCAGGGGCTTCTGGGAACTCACAGAGATCCACTGGTCTCTGGCTCCCTAGGGCTGGGATTAAAGGTGTGTGCTACTATTCCCAGCTAACCATGCGTTCTTGGTGGAGAATTTAAGAGGAAGCTCATAGCTCATGATATAGCTAGTAACCTGCACGATGATGGAACATTCAGACATTTAACAGAAGCTGGGAAGACACAGACACGAAGAACCCCATGGTATCACACTCCTGCCTGGGTTGACCAGCCATGCTGGTATGTTAGCAACTGGCCTGGACCCACTCAGGAGCAAACAGATGAGCATGAGAGAAAGATTGACAGCCATTCTTCAGCCTACATACAGACCCATCAAAGGGCAGCAGAAGCCATTATCCCAACTTCTGAACAGTGTAAACAGTAAGCCACTCTGATCCAGGTCAACTTCTAGGGTGCTAAGCTTAAAAGAGTAAAGCCATGTGCCATAATTTCTTCAGATTGTGCTTTTAAAAATCTTCACACTCACCGTTCCAACCTTTGCATTCCTGATTTGCTTTGGAGACGCTAATTAAAGTCAGATGTCACTTAATGATAAGGCTGAGTTCTGGGGAAGGTAATATTAAGACATTTTTGTCATAGTACAAACACAAAGTGTGTTTACATAAACTAAGACAGTGGAGACATCATTGGGTGACACAATGTTATGAAATCATGTTTGTTTATGTGGTCTCTCATAGACTGAAACACTTCCATGTGGCTTTATATGACTTTATATAAGAGAAACGAGAACATTCCAGTAAAGAAGTTTGCTCAAGGGCTGGAGAGATGGCTCAGCAGTTAAGAGCACTTGCTGCTCTTGCAAAGGACCCAGATTTTGTTATCAGCATCTACACTGAGATTCACAGCCATCTGTAATTACATTTCCAGGGGATCTGATGCCCTCTTCTGGCCCCTGCAGGTACTGCATGGATATGGTGTACATACATACCTATATGCAGGTAAACACTCATACACATAAAATGAAAATAAATACTTTTTAAAAAAAGAAGCTTGCTTAAGTATATTTCTCTAATAGTTGTTCATAATTGCCCCAAAGGAAAAATACCCTCGATATACTCAAAACCCATCGGCTGGCAAATGGTTAAACAGCTTATGTTAGATCTCATCAACGCAATGTTATTTGACCACACAAGGAAAGTTCTTGGTACCTAATGCATCTCTGATGATGACCGGTAGAATATATAACTTGTTTCCATTTATACAAAAGCTCCAGAGTAGGCAAGTCTGTAAAACAGGAAATCATTAGTCTGTGTCTATGGCTGAGGGGGACATGGACGGAATGGGCTGGGAAGAATAGCAAATGGACTGGTAATGTTTTAGACTTTCTTTATATGTGATGAGATTTTCTAAAATTAGAGGCTGGGGAGATGGCTTGGTGGGTAACGTGCTTGCTTATAAGCTTGAGGACCTGAATTCAGAGCCCCAGCAACCGTGACGGGTGGCTGCAGACAGATTCCCATTGGCCAACAGATGGATTCCCATTGGCCAACAAGCTTAGCCTCACTGAAAAGCTTCCTGTTTAATTAGAACTCCTGTATCGGACAAAGTAAGGTTGAAAGCAATTGAGGAAGGCACTTGACCTCTGACC